CAACTGTAGGTCTGCGGCCAACATTCCCCTCCTGGGCTAGTTGCCTGAGCTGGTGGTAGCTGAACACTCTTGAATACAAGCACTCTTGAATGGAATGCACTTTCTAGAGCCATTTCAATCACACTTCTGATTGGAAACTGCCTTGGTCACCTTGTAGGATGAGCTTTGCCAGGAGAAACACAGTGGGAGTGCAACCCCGATGATGATCCTGGACCGCTCAGAAGCGTTGGTTCCATTGACCATGGTATCCTTCTGGACGGGCTGGCTGGATTAGGAGTAGGGGGTACCACATCGCAGTAGATCCACTCCGACTTGAGCAATGAATTCCAGAAGGTGGTATTGGAGGATTACTGTTTTGTGCCATGGCAATCATGGCATGGGGTTCCTCAGGGCTCTATTTTATCCCCGATACTATTCCACATTTACATGAAACCTTTGGGCTGAGGTATAATCAAAATGCCGATGACGCTCAAATCTCCTTCTCTTTTTGATCAAACCCAGATGAGGCAGTGGCCAGGCTGAATCAGTATCAGAGCATGGTAATGGACTGGATGAGAGTCAACAAACTGAAACTTAATCCAGACAAGATGGAAGTGCTGTTGGTGGGTGGTTCTTCTGTCCAGTTGGGCAAAGTTCAACCTGTTCTGGATGGGGTTAGACTCCCCCTAAAGAACAAGGTCCATAGTTTGGGGGTGTTCCTGGATCCAGAACTGAGTCACAAATGGACTCAGTTGCACAGAACACCTTTTATTAGCTTAGGCTGATATATCAATGATGATCCTATCTGGACAGACAGAGTAGGTATACTGATCCATACTCTGGTAATCTCTTGTTTGGACTACTGCAATGCACTGTGCATAGGGCTACCTTTGAAAATGGTTTCCAAGACTTCAACTGATCCAAAACAGGGCTGCAAGGTTGTTAACGGGGACTGGCTCATGAGAACATATTATACCAGTCCTCTTTCAGCTGTACTGGCTCCCAGTTGAAGTTTGGCCCAATTCAAAGTACTAGTATTAACATTTAAATCCCTAAATGGCTTGGGGCCAGGAACACCTCTTACCTTATGTACCTACCTGGACCTCAAGGCTATCTTTTGAGATCCTTCCCTGGGAGCCCCCTTCAAAGAAAGGAAAGAAAATGGCTACCAAGAAATGGGCCTTTTCAGCTGGGAAACCCCAGCTATGGAATGAGATCCCCAAAGAGGTACACCTGGTGCCTACTCTTTATTCTTTTCAGCACCAAGTGAAAACCATTTTATTGTCCCAATATTTTAGCAGTTAAATTTTTAATCTTAGTTTTAATATTGCATTTTATTTTGTACTGCTGCTATAACTCTGCACTGATTTGATTGCAATTGCTGTGGTTTTGTTTTATTGTTTCATATGTTGTTTCTCTTTTGTTTGTAAGTTTTTAACTTTTGTTAAGCACCCAGAGATCTTTTGGCTATTGGGTGATGAAAGAAAGAAAGAAAGAAAGAAAGAAAGAAAGAAAGAAAGAAAGAAAGAATCTATAACCAAACATGAGTAGGGAATGATGAGCACACAATAAATGCCTTGTGCCAAAAACTCTTTTTAAGCAAGGAAAATGTAGTAATATTAGAGAAACTGAAAGAAAACTTTTTTTCTACTTGGGAATTTGTGCTATTCCCCTATACCACAGTGCTACCTAGAGGTTATATAGAAGAAATGAAGGAAAGGAATCACTTCGCGTAGTACTTGAATCTCAATTCTTCAACAAAACAGAGAGTATTGTACTGCACGTAGAAAAATCATCTATCTGTGTTGCTTTCCCATTTTTATTCTGGAGTAGGTACAAGAGTCTCAGTCCTGATTGTGACTCTAGTATGGGGTCAGGGGGCTTTTATGATCTGGACTGGGACCGCTTGCCTATTCTACAGTAAAAAAAAAAAATGTGGGTAAGGTTAGAGAGAGAGGCCTGTCAGAGATGTCAGAAGTAATGTCTGTTTTGGCTATAAGGGGCACATTAGTCACCTGGTAACGGTCTTCCCCACTATGGTGAGATGCATTATATATTTATTATAATCACATGGAATCTACTTCTATATGTGTCACTGATGAGCATAGGCAAGTTAAATGCAAATCTATATCCTTTATCTTACTTCGTAGTGATGTACTTCTTCTCTTTATTTATGACACATAAGTGACCATCCTGCTATAAATTCATCCTCCCAGCTTGGACCGCATGTGTGAACCATTTGTCTAAAGTGTCCAGATGGCACTCTACCACGTTTTGAATGAAGTTAGCCTACGGTTGCCATGTGAGTGATGTAATGTGGGAATCAGCTAGAAAAGTAAGGCATCCACTTGTAATGCCAAATAGGGCACAATAGACATCCAGGCAGCTGGTTCTTTTCCAGGAGGGTCAGACTGCATCACATGGAATCCAGGAGATGAAGGTGCAATCATCTGTCATCCTTTTCAAGCGACTTTAAATGTGCATTAAAAGCTTACTTTCTTTTGGTAGAGTTTATTTGCAATTCTGTAGAGAGGGCTATGGAAATCAGTAAGCTGCTGAGAAAATCAGATCTTTCTTTCCCTTCTCCCTTTTGCCCCCTTCTCTCTGCATGCGTTCACAATTTCAAAACTCCTATTTTAAATTGAAATAAACCTCTGAGCAGTGCTGTGAGCATCACTGATTCTAGCAAGTGTTCTTTTCCTAAAATAAATGCTTCCCAAGTGACAGTCAAATAATCAAAGTCATTCCTATTCAAGGCAAACAGCTAGAAAGAAAACTTGGTTCAATAAAACAAACTGGAATATATTGGAAGAAATCCCTTGACAATAAATAAGGGAGAGAAAACAAATAAATATATTCCACAATATAAAAAGACTAGTTATTTTCCAGTTTAGCATTTGCAAAAGACTCTGCTAATTAGTTTGAAAGCAGAGTACTAATTGGCAGCAACAGTGTACGTTTCAAGATGATGTGTTTATTTTTATTTTATTTTATTTTTGAAAAAAAGAACAAAAAAAGAATGGAATATTGCAAGGAATGATCTTGTAATGTGTCCTTGGATTTCAGGGAGCTATGATCCACCTATGGTAACAATGCAGCATGGGGAAGCTGACTGATAGGAACAAATGCTTTGGTTTTAAGGGCTTTTCCTTCCTCTGCATATTGTCACCTTGTGCATCAATTAAAGCAAACGTGCAAAAAAAAAAAAAAAAAAAAAGCAGTGATTGTAGGCTGATTATCTTTAAAACCGCAAAGGTAGGAGAGATTTAGTTAATATGGAGATTAGCTTTGGATATGGTACTACTGCCATGAAGCTGATCTTGTCATGAAACATGTGGTGAATATACAGTAATACCTTGGTTCATGAACAGTTCAGCAAAATTTTGCTTCCATTCACGAACTCCACATTGAGTGACAAACACAATCGCGGCCATCTTCTCTGCACAAACACAATCACAGTCATCTTCTCCACACCACGACCATGTGTCAGAGTGTGTTTGAGCAGGGAAGATGGCCGCATTTGTGTTCACACGAATACGAATGCGGCCATCTTCCCACTCTGACACATGGTTGCGGCTTCCTCTAGTCAAGATCGCAGTCACAGACTATCCTGCCAAACAATAATGTCCTCCCCACCCACCTTCCTGTCCTCCACGCCAGAAGTCTCCTCAAGAAAGGTTAGTGTTTTCTCTCTTCATACTCTACTGTACTGTACTTTGTTTCATATTTTTGTGGTCAAAAAAAATACATATGGTTCAGAACAGAGTAACCTTGTTTACATTGAATCTTATGGGGAAATTTGACTCAGTTCACAACCAATTCAGTTCGCGACCAGAATCGTGGAACAAATTAAGTTTGTGAACCGAGATACCACTGTATTGTTCCACTGCTTACATAATAAGTGCTGTTGTTCATGGCTTTGATGAAGCAAGTTTAACATTCATGTTCTTGCTGAATATCAACTTTCTCACTCTAGGGGTGCATCCTAACAACATATTCATGGAATGAAACTGATGTGGCAAAAAGTGTCTCTTGGTGATCTTTGCCATCTCAATCTCTCCAGGACATATTTTAGCCAGAAAAACAAGCAGTCTGCAGAATTCATGTGGCTCAGAAAATGTTGGTTCACTAGGGAATCCTGAGGAATTTGAGCTCCCTTGAATCCATTGCAGATTTTTCCAACATCCCTACAGTCAGCAGAAACAGTAGAAGTGCATGGTGGTGCTCCACCCACAAAGTACAATGACTGAAAGTAAGACTTAGGGTTTCTCCATGCAAGTGTATTTACCAATATCACCCAGGGGCTGCAGGATTCCCATGTTCCGCAGTAGCAGCAGCAGCGGGAGCTACTTGCCGCCCTAGACAGTGCCCTGAACTTCTGGAGCATCTTTGGAAGTGTGGGAGCACAGAAGTGGTAGGAAGGGGTGGCCTCCTCCATGGGAGAATCTACTTGGCTATTGGATCACAGCCATCAATGCTGAGTCAAAGCCAAGTGAGTGCTGTACCATGCGATCCCATATATCAGGGTGTTGAACTCCTTTCAGGCAGAGGGCTGAATTACACTTTGGAAAAGCGACCAGGGATTGCATTCTGAAGGCAAAATGAGACAAGCCCAAAGGCAAAGGGGCCGAGGGCAAAGTACCAAAAATACTGGCATGTTTTTTGTTTAAAGCTCTTCTGGTATCCATTTAGAGCTTTTAGAATTGGAAAGCAATGTGGGAAGCAAAGGTAGGAAATCACCAAATGACCAGCAGCTAGGGGACAGGGGTAATGGGGTTTGGTTATCCAAAGAGCACAGGAGGGGTAAATTTATTCCACAGGCCTGAAGTTCTGTTACACACCTAACATGCAGGTTTACTCCAAAGGAAATAATATTCTTTTTCGGTTGGCTTATTCTTGAACAAGTCTGTCTAGCATTTCAACCTTAACTTCACCTACAACTGCAGCCGATCAGATTCAAGAATGGCAAACAGACTCTCATAAGATATAACTCATTCCACATTGTTTGTTTTATTATGCAGACGAGGATCTAACGTCTCACTAACCTTAGATATGAGCAGCCTAGGAAGCATTGAACCCTTTGTTGCTGTGCCAACACCAAGAGAAAAAGTAGCCATGGAGTACCTGCAGTCAGCTAGTCGGATCCTGACGAGGCAGCAGTTAAAAGAAACAGTTGCAAGTTCTCATTTGCTTCAGACAGAATTCATGGTAAGCTATTAGCTATTTTTTTTAATCAAAACAACTAGAATGTATATTTGAGCTTCATCTTTTGCCCAGTTGATAGGAACTGATGCATGGAAATCAAAACCTTGTTTTCCACGTACAGGGAGCTTTAAATGTGCAAGGCATTAAAATATGTAATTCTCAAACAGCATCCTGAAGTGGCAAAGTCTTTTTCAAATAATTAAATTGCTTTATATCTGCTGTGCACCATGGGTATTTCTATGCACAGCTCTCATGGTGCTGTGCTCTGTCTCATTCATGACATTTCTAGATGAGTTTCTTAGTTGCAGCCCTCTCATGTTTCCTTGATGCTTCTTTCATCTTTTCCCTTAATGCAGAAAATCCATTAACACAATGTGCAATGATTTATGATTGTAAACACTAAGAGCCTGCCTTCTGGATGCATCCCGGACAAGAAATGCTATGATTCCTGGGCGGGCATCCCAGGCACCATAGGATTGTTAGGACCCTGCCCAGGATTAGAGACAGACATCTGACCTCAGAAAGGAAAGTCAGAGACTGACTCCCTTCCCTTTCCCCTTTACAGCTAGTGTAGAAAGAACCACACTGGCTACCTTCTGAGGTTGGAATCATGACCTTGGAGGGGGGGCGGGTATTCCAATGGGCAGGGATGGAAGGTGGCTGGAGAGGCCAGGCTATTCTGATATTCTGAGTCTGCTACCACAGCCCCCGGAGCACCTCACGAGATGGCTAAAAAGCCAGTTAGTGAAGCTACGAGGTGAAATGAAAGGGATTAACTCCACTGCTCCTTCCACTCCACAGTGGGTGATTGGATATCTCTGAGTTCATGGGCTTCCAATCATTGAGGGCAGGATTGATAGGATTGTGCCCCAGATTATCCTGGCACCTGAAACCATATAAGACTAGAACACTTTTGAGTCCACTCCTCCACTTGGAAGCAAGAGAGTCTGTCTATCAGTTCCCCACAGATCCGCCTATAAGATCTAGAACCACAAGGTCTACCAAGCAGAAAGGGTCTGAGTACTTTCAGTACAAGGAGCTGCACATGAATCAAGACACAGGTCACCAAAGCCCACTGGCCAAGGTGACCGATTGCGGATACACTGATCAGGCATGATGAATCCAATCCATCCCACCCTCAGCAAGCAATTTTGAGCAGAAAAATATTGAGGGAAACTATTAAGTAATTTCATTTCTCCTGCCACCAGCTTCTTCACTCAAAATCACAATCTTTTAAGGCTATCTTCATTCGAAAACAACTGTAAGGGCTCTGTTACATGCATTTGTATGAATGTTAATGCACCTTTATAAACATTGACATTATGTTTTTTCTTCCTTTCCAGGAGATACCCATGAATTTTGTAGATCCTAAAGAAATTGACATCCCAAGTCATGGAACTAAAAATCGCTATAAGACCATTCTTCCAAGTAGGTCAATCGAAACAGACTTCCCCTACCTGGCCCCATCCAGTTGTGCTCTTCTGCAGCTCCCAAAATTCCACGTAGCCAGAATGGCAAATGGCTGCAGTTCAGCCCAGCTGGAGGGATCCAGGCTGGGAAAGTCTGATTTAAACTGATATTTAAATCATCTGATTTTCAATCTAGGAGGACAGACCTTGGTTTTTCTATTATGTTCACCATTTTTCCATTCCCAGCACATGTTTTGCCTCTTGAACTGCAGCATGCAGAGTGACTTCAAGTGTTTTTTCTCTTCTTTGGAAAGAGCCAGAGGCTGACAATTGTAACTGAGCACTGCCAGGAGTTCTGCCAGTTTCTTGTATTGAAGCAATTGACAGATTTCAGTAATTCTGAACTATAATCTATATCCTTTGATGGGCCTGAGCTGTGAAAGTGTAACAAGATTTTTCAGAGACAAAATTGTCATGTCTTGAAGAGTCAGTGTCCTTTTAGTTGGGAGAAACTTATTTAAAATTGCATTTGGAACTAGCATTGTAAATAAAGTGATTTTCTTCACAGTCATCTATGTTTAATTTACATTCAGATTCAGTTTTATTAATACTGATGCTGAAGATATTTAGTCCATTCTATAAAAAGTTATTGGATCTAAATTATCAGATGAGAGTCAATGCAACTGAATTATGTTTATTCTTAGTACTTTGACTTTAAATTGGATCTTAACAATCTGTGGCCAACCAAGCCAAGTATCGCCAAGCAGACATGTATGGTTATCTGTCAGGCAATTCAGCAAGCCCCCTCTTCCTCCTCGTCCTCCTCCTCCTTCTCCTCTTCTTCGTAGGGGGTGTGTAAAAACAGATTTATTTGTCATCACTTTTTTTTATTTGGACAAAACTCAAATGCTGCAGGAACAGGAAGTGCGGGTCTCTTGTACTTCCTACTCCATTGTTCCTCTGGAATGTTTGGAGTCATTCTTAGCTCACTCTCCTGTCATAGTGGCACTAACCTTTGGGACACCCCAGCAATTGCAGCAGTACAACATATCACTGCCCCATGTAACTGCTACATCAAAGCATCCATATAATTCATATGGACTTTGTTTTAATAACCAACTTCACTGTTTTTCCAGATCCTGTAAGCAGAGTCTGTCTGAAACCAAAAAATCCTGGGGATGCTTTGAGTACCTACATAAATGCAAACTACATCAAGGTAAGTAAATTGAAGTGCAATATGAGAACTGGCCATCTTACCTTTCATTTTTCCATTGATCCAGTTAGGAATATTGGATTCCATAAAGCTACACTCTTTCTTTCTTATCACAACTCTTTGGATGGTGCTGTGCCAGCACAGCCCCTTTTATAAGAAGGAACATGCTCTGTGTTGTTACCTCCCTCCACAAATAAATTGTCAGAAAGAGTAACAAGCTAATGGGCTAACTACTCTGTGATCAAACATTTTGCCAAACCTCATCCCATCGTCTATTTGCATATTCATAGAAGAGCAGAGTAAGCTTTCTGGATTTCTTGTCTTTTCTTCAGTGCCTGTTTCCTTTTCACCCACAAACAGCCTAACTCATAAAGCAATTGTTATTGTGTCTTTGTCTGAATTAGGGATATGGTGGCCAAGAGAAGGCTTTCATTGCAACCCAGGGACCTATGATTAATACCGTGAATGATTTCTGGCTGATGGTATGGCAAGAAGACAGTCCTGTTATTGTTATGATCACAAAGCTGAAAGAGAAAAATGAGGTATGATTTTTCACCTTACTAAATCATGAACAGAATCATATTTAAACAGTGAATGCCACTAAAGGACAATATGATGAATGCTATTAAAACGTCAGTGCAAAAAGAATCCTTAGGGGATATTCAGCCACTGAATTTTGCTCTTACATGGATTTATTCAAGGTGGGAAGGAATGGTTGCTATTATTGTCAAAACTGTCACTCTTAATATTGGCTGCAACATTTAGGATGCAATCCAGTATCCTCTTTGCACCTGATACCTGACACAACAATCTCTACTACCAGGGCCCCACAGATAGGAAGAGAAGGTGGCTGGAGCGCACGTTGGAGGTGGCATAACCAGCCTCCTCCCCTACAAGCCCCAGTGCATGGCCTTGCCAACACTGACTGAAACCATGCCTGGAAGTAAGTCTGCCTGCATTCAGTTAGACTGGACTTAATTCTGAATTGCCTTACACCGGATTGCTCTGGAGAGTCTTAACACTGGATAATTTTTAAAAACACAATAATGGTTGAAATCTAGTGATGCCAGCATGAGACGTGTCCACCTGAAGCACACAAAGCAACCCAAGTCTATACATGCAACTGTGTGCTGGCAAGTATCCAATAAATGCAACCTAAAAAGTTTGCTGCGTCCATGTCGGTGGTGAAGCATACACAGGGCATCTAGTGAAGGGATATGTCCTGGGCCTGCCAAGTCAGAACTCCATCTATGCACTGAAGTATATACAGAGTTCTAATCAGGAAAGAAATCTAGACTATTTATCCTGGTGCTTTCTATAGCATCATTATTGCATCCAAAAGACATTTACCTGGCATCTAAAATACTGCATTCTTAGGGAGCGCAGAGTATTATAAACAGTTCTTTGACTTGACTCATCTGATCAAAATACTTCTGAAAACCAAACCCATTATGATATGTCTTGTGGATTAAATATTTTCCCAAAGGAAATGCCATATTTTGTAATGCCTCTGACACGATTTGTGAAGAATGACTTGAAAGAAACACTGAGCGGTTTCTAACATATCAGGAAGCCTTGTGTTTACCTGAATTGCCCGGACTCTCTACAACACTGCTTATCTGTATTGTCATGAGCTGATAGTGGCAATTTCCTCCTAATAGAAGGGGGGAATCAGCTTATGTCATTCCCAAGCTATAGGGAGAAAGTCTGTGTTTATGAGTTCCTGACATTCCACTAAAAAACCCTGGCAAACATCTGAAGAATTGTTTGGATGGTAAGAAATGATTCTCTCACCTTATTTGCTACTGGAGGTACATCAGGTTTTGGACTCAGGTTTTTGTGGTTCATGTGTGTGTGTATCAAATATTGCTGCTTTGGGATACCAGGGCAAAGGGCGGGAGCAGCCACAAAGCAGAAGGGCAACAAAATAAGAGAAGCAAGACACGTATATAAAAACGTTGATTACAAATATCTTATTCCAAGTGCATTCCTGAACTTCCTGAGCTCTGCTGAACCTGGGAACTTCTGCATGCAAGGCATTTGCTCTGCCACTGATCTATGGCCGCTTCCCATGGTGAATACCTTCTCTAAGTGTGGATCCTTATGAAGCCAAAGTGGTACCATTTCCACACCGGAGGGGAGGTCTCAGCAGGTTTGAGGGGACCACAGGATTTGCAGAAATACAGCAGCACCTTTAGAAATAACCCTGGTAAGCTCCACAGGCAGGGAATGCTGACTGACTTTTAGGGGTGGAAGATACAGAAAAACATGGGGAGAGAGTATGTAATAGGACCTGGCTGGCTTGAGCCACAAACAGGAGCAATCCTGCATTGTAACATTTGGCTACAGGTTTCACTGGTTTACTTAGAATATTTATATGCTTCCCTATAATCAGGGCCTCAGGGTAGGTTATGACAAAAACAGATGTCTTGTATTCTGCTTTATTCTGGACTGTACTGTGTACAGCTCCTAGCACAGGAGTTGTTCTGAGTGAGTAAAATGCTGTTCTAATTTGGTCAATTATCGCATTCAACCAGAAACAAATTTGAAGCAGTCTGTGGTTGAATCAAGCATTTAAAAATGTTTCTTTTTCCAGAAATGTGTACTGTACTGGCCTGAGAAGAGAGGAATATATGGAAAAGTGGAAGTACTGGTCAACAGTGTGCAAGAATGTAAGAATTACACTATCCGCAACTTGACATTAAAGGTAATGGGTGCCATTGTTTTAAAAATGTGCATAATAACTTGTTTGTGAAACTCTTTAACATTAGAAGAGTAATCAATCAGCAATGTTGCAGGAAAATAATAGTCATAGCAGAACATTGGGACATCTGCTCAATATGATAATATGGAGAAAGGATCTAATGTGATACTATTTTCAACATAAAAGGCAATGGTGTTAGCATAAATTTTCTCTAGCACAGCACCAGAGGTACTTGCTGGCCCAACGGGTTTCCCTGTGATGTGTCATGTTGGATATTGCTTTTGTATTAGGGCTGGGTTACTTGTGACTTTTCAGATGTTTTGGCCTACAACTCTCAGCATCACTCTCTGGTGGCTGTGCTGGCTAGGAATGAGGTTGCCTGTAGGGCAAAACATCTGGAGAAAGCTCATTATTATATTTCAATGGAACATATGCCAAGCTGCTTTTTTATTTTCTCTAAAAAAAATGAATGGACAGTGATCTGTGATCTTCTGCTCCAGACCAATGCCTAGTGTAGAAAAAATGACCACGTCAAAGCAAGACACAGGCAACCTGTGTTTGGGTTAGAGAGCAGAAGAGGATATTAGGTAGCATTTTAGCAGGAGTGATGCTAATTTTATAACAGGCACATCGAATGTCCTGGATACCAGTCCATTTCAGCACCACAGAAGCACCTGCTCAATTCTGAGTCCTTTCTATGAGGAAATAAACAAAGCAATGCATCCAGTGAACACCATATGCCACATCATGAAGCATAAACATGCTTCACTCTTTTCAGCAAGGGACCCAGTCAAGACAGGTCAAACATTACTGGTATACCTCCTGGCCAGACCACAAAACTCCAGATAGTGCTCAACCGCTTCTGCAGCTCATGTTGGACGTGGAAGAGGACAGGGTGGCATCAGTTGGCAGAGGACCGGTCATTGTGCACTGCAGGTAAATGATGTTTTTAAAAAGCTTTCTCTTGAAAAGTCAATAGAGAAGACTTTCTATAAGGATCCCATGGCCATGAAACCTCCGTCCCTCCCTCCCTCTCTTTCTCTCTCTCTCTGTCTCTCTGAAAGAAAACTTTTTGCTGATATTTATTTGTTCCACATATTAAAAATATAGGAAGGTACCAAATATCAGAACAGATGATTGGTCCATCTAAGTCAGTACTGTCTAACCTGACAGAAGTCTTTCTCAACTTAGACATGCTGGGGATTGAACTTAGATATTTTCCCATACAAAATGGCTGTTCCACCTATATGCACAATTCTGGCTCTATGCAAAAAATAAAAAATAAACACCCATAACTGGGACACAATGCATTTATGAAATCACTCCCATGAGGTCTCTGATGTACCCCGTCTTATCTAAGATACTTAACCTGCTCACCTCTTTTCATCACTTTCTTAATGCTGTATGACTTCAACACTGTTGTTTAAACTTTGTTGGTAACCCTGGAGCAGAACCTGCACTCTTCATAGGTTCCCAAGTTGCCTTTGCTGTTCAGCAGCCAGTGCTTGAAATAAATATTGCAAATTTAGTCAGAAAACTCATTTTCTGTGAAGGATTCCCAGAGTGGTTAACAGGATGTTTGCTGGACTGAAAGAACTATAAACTCCCGCTCTTATCATTTACAGTACAATTATTATTTCGTCATCTATATGTACTTCAGTGGCACGTGAACGATAGAAATCCTTTTTTCCTCATACTACCCTCACCCCTATGAAAATGTAGCTTGGCATTCTGGGAATTCATTAACTTTGTTTGTCTCTCAGCTTATGTCATATACTGCCCTTCCCCCAAAAGAATCTCTGAAAAGTTTGCAATTGCACGTTTCTACCATGCTGTGGCAGGAAACCATTGCACATCTGTGCTATGAATCTGCTTCCTTGTGTACAGAACAGGCTAAAACTTAAACATGCTTAGAAAGTTAGGTGGAAATAGGCTGATTTAAGATGCAATCCTATGCTTCCTTAGATGGAAAAAAGCCCCGTAACTCTCAGCATTTCCCAGCCAACATATTCATTTTCCTCTATGAATATGCATAGGATTCTGTCCTTAGGCACATGCAGTGTCTTCCATATTAAGGGATAAGAGAAACACAGGTATAGCTATTATATCAAGCAGAAACCTATCAGCTAATCTACAATCATCGATTGGTTGACAAGCCAAGCATTTTAACAGAAAAATGAATTGCTAAATTTATCCCTTGGCTAAACCCCTCACACTTCCCCATGGTTAATACGTCGTAGTTCTTCCAACCTGTCAGATGATGGAAGTTGATGGCTGTCATTTTAGCTCCATGCAGCTTTGGTTTGTTTTTTATTTGTTTGTTTGTTTCCTTTCAGTGCTGGAATAGGAAGAACTGGATGTTTTATTGCTACTGCTATTGGTTGTTATCAGTTGAAGAAAGAAGGAGTTGTTGATGCATTAAGCATCGTCTGTCAACTGCGTTTAGACAGGTATGATCATTGACAATGCACAACCCATCCATAAATGCCAGCTGAAACTTATGGCAGCCCTACAGGCACAGATCTGGTACATCAGTCCACTGGGCACCAGCTGTTACCACCAAGAGTTAAACCCAGTCCTCTCTGTTCCCAAGCACTCCCAATCTCTCCGAGACCACTGACCAAGCGTCCCAGTGGAGACTCGTGTGCCAGACTTCTTTGCAACCCTCCTGTGTCTTTAGGGGAGCTCAGCTTAGGTTCCAGGATTTTCACAGTGTGTTGCACTGAACCTCATCTTTAAATCAACATTAACATGACTTATAACATGGCACGCCCTTTATGAACCTCTTCTCTTTCACCTTCTGCCTCACAAGCGTACAGTCTAAGCTTTGGTGTAAACAAACTAAAATATTTATTAAGAATTCGGGCAAAATGTACTGAAAAAAAAGGTTGGTTTCAAAGTAGAAAACAATAAGCTATTTAAAGTGGTAGTTTAGTAGGAAATGACGAAGAAAACAGATAAACACAGTCCAGATATTCACAATGTTGCATTAAAATGCATAGCTGGCTCTTTGAAGCCCATGGCCTCTGTGGTGCAGTTCCTCTTGTGTTTGTTCTTTCCACCTAAGAACCCTACACACTAGCATCTGCTCCAAAGAAAAGACAAGAAAATATGTTGAATGTACTTTCCCACTGGAGAGCATCTCTTTAGGTCCCCACCACCTGCCTGGGTGGATATTTCACAGAAGAAGCATGAGTTTTAGTCTGGCGGATTCTTTATACATTGCTTATGTTTGGCCCAAAGATGGTATTCTTGACACTTCCTCATTGTTTGGCACCTGGGTGGTTTACCAATCAATGGGCTTACTAAGTGGATATGTTTGGCCTTGTATCCAAACATTTGCACTGAAATACCAGGATCTAGCATGCAGCCAGCATCTCTGCTGTTTTTATCAAAGAACAACGACGGACTGAAATGGAGGTTTCTTCCTTCAGGCCTGAATAAGGTGGACTTAGTGTGGTCTAGGTGAGTGGGCCGTTCTAGGCCACTCTAGGTTGACTGTGACAAATGTCTTTGGCCCAAGGGCCATATTCCATTTCAGAAAATATTTCAAGATCCACATTCCAGTGGTGTGCAGGGCTGAAGGCAAAGGAGGTGAGGCCAAAATACCAAAACTATCAGTATATTTTAGCTTAAAGCTGGCTACTGGTGATTAAAGGTTAGGAGAGACATGTCAGTATTTTATACAGGGAAAATTCTGCACAAAGCCAGGAATTCACCAAACCATCAGTAGTGGAGGAAATGCAGTAGGACAAGGTAAATAACATGTGACTTCCTAAGGACTCCCAGGTCGCTGGATTTGTGGCTTGGGCTAGAGCTTCTGGACCCCTCTGATTGCTTCACAAATTCTGATTTTCTGATGGGCATCGAGGAGGAAAAACTGTAGCAGAACCAAGCAGAGAGCAGACTGAAAACTATGGCCCAAAGAATGATGGAGTTGTGTGGATGTATCACCATCCCTTCAAAGTTCTTCAGGTAACTTGTATGCTTCCCATAAGGAAGCAAACTGCAGCTTCAGAAACACACCATGGGGTAGAGTTGACCCTCTTCCCACCTCCCATCCCAGAGCACTCATTATCCAGTATTTGCAAAACAGGATGGAGATGCATTCATGTATCCCCATCCCTAGACAGCCTGTGCGCAAATAGGTAACAGCATCTACTCCTTTTCCTTCTAACCACTACCATTGTTTGGACCAGGGAAGGAAGCATGTTGCAGTGGCTAAAAGAGAGAGCAATTCCAGGGACTCTTGGGTCCTTGGCAGGAACCCTGCCATGCCTATCCTTTGTGCCAGCCCTGTGCATTCCCATATTTAGCACTGGCCTCAGGTACAAATCTTGGGCACACTCACATTTGTGCATAGCAAAGCATGTGAGTGTGCTTTCAAAGGGAACTTCAAGAGACTGCAGTTGTGGTTGAAATGATGCAAGAAGTGTACTTCTTTTTTCCTTGCTGGCCATTTTTTAGCCCTGCATTTTTATCCCATAGTTATGCAGGAAGTCCACAATGTACTTTTGCTGTGCCTTCTAGCACACATTACTTTTATGGTTAAATTAAATGGAGCTTGTGCTGCCCTTGGTGGCATGAATCACGGCTGCAGAATTTCTTCAGTGTCAGCCAATGAGGCAGGAAGCCTGATAGGCATTAGAAAAAGGACAGGAAAAGCTGCACTTTGTACATGTGCTCTCAGGTCACAATAGGCCACATATTTAGTGTAAGAATGAAAATGAATTGACACTGGGGGCCAGTTTCTGATTTGCGTTTACGTTTTAAGATGCACGTTGCTCAGTTCATATTGCATCTGCCAATAGTTCAAGGGTTGGGGCGGTGCACATGGTGAAGAAGGACACGCAGAATATGACCATGTAACCTGAAATGTCCAGAGCCTTCAATTTATGGTTGCACCTCTCAAGCAACAGGTTCTCTATCATCATAAGTCTTAAAAATACTTTTCTTGCACCTATACTGAGCTCTCTGAGCTGCAGCAGAAGCTACATAAATATGAGTAAGATGGGTGTTGACACTAAATGCTTGCAATACTTTGTAGTACTACTGAAGGGTGCTTGGGCTTCAGCCTGAGCAAGGGAAAAGAGTTCTGAGAAGGAAGAAACAATTCTACAGTTGTGAGATGTGGAAAAAATCCGTGCCAGTGCAGCACAGACCTGAGTTACATTCCAAAGTGTTGAGGGAGTGTAGGATACTTTGGACTGAGATATTTAATTGCTTAGAGGTTAAGACTTTATCTTCATGTATGAAAGATACTGGGAAGTATCCAGTGCTGAACACCTGTGCTAGTGAGACTGTCTTTTAATGCAATATGAAGCTAGCACTTCATAGCACATCCCTGGAATAAGTCAAGCAAGAACAGGACCAGCCCTGGGAGCCCAGCTTCCTAGACAATTTCTCACAGCAACTTTCTGTATATGTTAAATAGCATGGGGAATAAGATGGAAACCCAAGTGATAATGTATGCCAATGGCCATGGTGCTGAGCAGAAATCATCCAGCACTTTTAATTACATTAAAGTTTCTAATCACTGTGTTGCTGCCATGACTAAACTGGTACCATACTCATAATGGTTAGGCTCAGGTATAAACCCCTGCCCAATGAAACCAACCCTTCAAGAAGGATCAGAACAACCATATACTGGTGCCCACCAATCACATCTCAACAGAAAACTCAAAAGGATACTGTGGTTGATGGCATCAAAAGCCACTGTGACCAACAGGGACAGATTTTTCCTGGTTAAGGTTAGAGTTAGAGTCTATCAAGGTGATCAAAACAGGCTCTGCCCAATAACCAGAACTGAAGCCAGACTGAAAAGGATCTAGATCAGGTGTGGGTAACTTGGAGATCAAAAGGCCATTTTTACCACCAAACAGCTGCCTGTAAAACTCGCCCCTTCCCTAAAAGACCCCAAATGGCATCCATTGCTGCTATGGAGTGGCTAAAAGGTGACCTTTTGGTCACTCCATAGCAGTTTCAGGTGCCATTTTGTATAATTCACCAGTAGAAATAATGGATCAATCATTCTTAGCACATAACTTGCAAAGAAACCCAGGATAAGAACAGCAAATGTGCAACAATTTTGTCTTCAAAAAAGGCAGATTGTCAGGAAGAAAATGGTAACGTCTGTATGAACTGGCCTGCTGAGGGCCTACCATGCATGTGTTTCTGGGCAAATAAAATGACAGTATGAATTAATCGCTAAAAATATAGTTGCATGATAGACAAATATGTTTCCGTGATGGGTAACCACTGCAGTTTCCAACATTTAAGCATTTTAATGCTGCTAAAAATGGGAAGTGATCAAAATACTGAGACTTCATACAGATGATCATCTGTGAAAGCACTGGAAGTGGTTGGAGGGAGAAGCTGATTTCACCTCTCAAGCCAAATAGACAGACATGTCTTTCATGGGTATGCCCCTACATTTCTTTTGTTTTACTGTCATCTGTTTTGGAGAGTTTTGAAGTAAGGACAAACAGTGTAAAACCTGTTTAACTGGAAATGAAAAGTGATAGAACCATGCACATCATGAAAAGTGATCTCCTCGACAAAAACAATAATTGCAAAATGCACCATCACCTTGCTTTCCCACCCCATCTTTTTTTTTCCCTCCTCCACTTTTTCAGAGGTGGGATGGTCCAAACAAGTGAACAGTATGAATTTGTGCATCACGCATTGACCCTGTATGAAAGCAGGCTCTCAGCTGAAGCCGTTCAATGAAAGCGAGGAAGAAGAAGCAAATACATCAATCTCTCTTGAGGTAAACTGTTCCATTACCTACCAGCAACTTCTTCAAGGAGTTTACAGCCGTGGAAGGAGAGGCATTGAAGCTAGCTAATAAAAGGTTGAAGTCTTTTTAAGTAACAAAAGCATACAAGATTGATGGACCCTTGTCTTGAATGTATTGTGAGTTCCCTGAAACAGTTTTAATGAAGGTTAATGTACTGATGTTACATTTGGATTTCATATATAACTTATGGAGGATTTCTTTCTGTATTAATGGGATCTGCCACACGGAATGTATGTAATGTATGTATGTATATTCTGTAACAGCTGGACATGGGGAAATTCCACTGAAGTAATGTGTATAAATGCTTTGACGTTTGCAGTCTGTCTTGTGAATAGGCTGTCAGGTGTTCAACTGTACCTGTTAAGTGCTATTACCTATTATGTGGTAAATGTAATTCAGATCCACTTAGGATGCTTGCCGCTAAACATGGGAAGTGATCAATTCTGGGTTTGAACAAAAATGAAATAAAACAAAAAATACAGGGACGGGGGAACAGTAAAAATTCATTGGTTTTGAAACTGTTCAAAATCAGTTAGTATTTTCTATGACAACTCCAGTAAGTACTCATATTTATTAAACATGTATAGTACTTTCTGTTAAACACTGCAGGACACAGGGGGTGCGACACAAAAGGGAAACTTTCCTGAGGAAGCCCTACTGAAGCTAATGAAAGTAATAAAAGGTTATGCATTTTAATGGCGCTTGCTGCACTCTTGTGAACCTCCCATTCCTTTCAATAGGACTTTTACAGAAGAAATTCCCTGTGTCTTTTTCAATGTTTATATATTTATTCAATACCATCTATTGTCTTAGAAGCAACTTTTTGCTCCAGGACAGAATCCAGTGTATTTGTAAATCTCGTGAGTCATTTTACTTTTAAAAAGAAAGTTTGTAACATATATTAAATGGTAAGAATTTTAACTATTTGCCTGTCTTTTACTAAAAGGGATGGTTTGTTTTTGTTTGTTTTTAAATAAGCTGTCAATTTTCCATTTCTTGCAATGAGAAGGTGGATGTTTTAGGGAACCCAAAATAGAAGGCTATATAAAAATGACAGTGAAAACTTTTTCTTTTCTTTTTTATCTTGGCAATGCTCTGCTTGCTACAGGAGAAAGAGTGCTACTCGCACACATCCTCTCGGTGAGAACAAAGGGGTTCAGCACAGGGACTAAAGTGATGTTACCTTTGCTCCATACCACCAATAAACTTGTTACGGAAGAGTTAATTTTTTCCTGTTTTATGTCAGTGATTCTCATCGTGTTTTGCTACTCATCTGTTCTGATAGGAAACTCAGATCTGCTTCTTACTTTCCTGCTGGCGTACTTAGAGGTGATACTCATGATGGGAATCCCCTACCCGCTCTCAACTAATGTCTCCTCTCTCAACTAATGTTATAATAGCCTTTCTCCATTGGTCTGCCCAGTTAACAGGAAACAACTGGGTTTGGGCCTCACCCTGGAACACTTTCTGTACTCCAAGCTGAGTGCTTTAGTGCCCGTTCTGGGCTGGTCCATGGTCCATGGACTGGGCTGGTCCATGGACTACATGGGGGTCACCATGTACACATTATCCAAAAAGATGATAAAAGAAATTTACAAACAATTTGCATATGTTAATTTGTGTATAATGGCAATAAGAATGTGTTTTAAAGAGAATTAGCATAATTTAAATAGAAATATAAAACATTGGGGTAGTGGAATTAGGCTGTGTACCTGTTCAGTCTGCTATGTTTACCATTGATGGGTGACTTCAGCACTCCTGACCTCTTCTTAGGGTTGGCTGTAGACTAGAGAGACCTTCAAATAGAGGACTGTGCTTTGTGAGCCTTTCAAATAGAGGACTCTGCTATGGAATGCAGGGCTCACAGCTAATGAAAATGTTTCTATGCTCCTGGGGAGCTCTAAAAGCCCGTTTCTTTCTCTTGGGGACAGCAGTAGGTGCGGCATAAGTTTTTTCAGTGTAACTGGCCAAGGCTGCTCGTCTGAACAGGGAACATGTGGGGAAAACACCCTTGAGTGTCCCGACCTCTACATCATACTGGTTTCCTCATATAAAACAGAATGCCTCCAAATGGACAGCTCCTAGTGCTACCATCAAAAGGGTAGTGCCAGCCTAGACAGGAAGGACCCAAAGCCAACCAATCAGCATCAATTGTATTCGTGATGGAAGAAAGGTAAAGGGTATTGCCCTGCATTCTCCTGGTATGTGGATGTGGGAACCTACAAAGATAAGTCACATGGGGCATCTTACCACGTGATGTTCCTGGATCGATTCAGAACATATCATTACAAAATGCTTGTAGTGTTTACAGGATAACATAGTATATATTTACATAGGCCAATCAAGAACACCTGCAGACACATAATGGTTCACAGACAGGCAATTAAATGAAATTACAGTTCCTTATCCTCAGCTGAGTTTCAAAGACAGTTAAGCGCAGGATTTGTTTTAAAACGTAGCCCTTCTTTGCCTGGGTTTCCTAACTGGAGCAGATAGCCAACACACACTGAAGGATCCCATGAAAGGACAAAGTGTAAAACTACCCCATACAATTGAATAGTAGGAAGTGTTCGTCACTGACTTTTTCCTCCTGTGAAGGCACATTTCCTTCCTAGCCTTCGCTTCACTTATCTGGGACTTGCTTTAAAAAACAAAAAAAGAGGGAGAAAGAGAAAGAAAGAGAGAGAAAGAAGTTGTTAGAGGGAAAATGGAGATTTTATTTTATGTTCTAATTTCTACCTGCCTGGCCTTTGCAAACTCTGGTAAGTAGAACTTTTCAGCGTTTTTGTGCTTCTTCCTGTGAATTCCATGGGTTCCTGGGAGTTACCACAATGTTGCCAAAAGAGAATGATTTCTGAGCTTCAGTTTACGAAAGACAAATATGGATGGGCCAAGCAAACCCAGGGGTGTTTCTATTGCATTCAAAAAGAAAATAAACATTGGTTTTAATGGTTACTTCATTCTTGGAGAAGTCCTACTGGGCATTCCATCTGATCCATATTCATTTGGGAGGACATGTTTTCCTTCGTGTTTTGTGAAGATTATAAAAGCAAAGGCATACTTGTTTGAGGGAGCTATAATGCTTATCTATATTATCTACAGTCAACAAGAAATTAAAAGTAGTGATCAAAAGCATTATTTTAGAAACTTTAGCTATTTCACCAATGATTCACAAAAGAATTGACCAAGATTAATACAGAAAGTGTATATACTTCATGGTGCAACATATTTGGGATTGGAAAGATTTCGTTTGGGCAGGGATTTATGCCTGAGTCTAACCGTTACGAATAAGGTACCAGTTTAGTCAGGACAGCAAAACAGTGATTAGAAACTTTAATATAATTAAAGGCATATGAAATTAATATCCCCTGTTAAGTATGGGAAACCCAGCCATACCGGCAGAGAGATGCAAACACCCATTGGCCGACCTGTTTCTCAGCAAATGCTTTGTTTCTAAACATTTTCAAAAGATTTATGAAGCCTGACTTACTATTATGTTGTGAAATGAAAGTAAAAATGACCATTGTCTTCTGTGAAGATTCATAAACAGCGAGTTGAATCCAAATTGAGTCTTATGTAAAGTAGACCCTTTTGAAATCAGTAGGACTTTGTTAACTTAGGAAATTTAAGTCACTGGTTTCAGTAGGTTATAATTAAGTGTCCAAATACACGTTACTTTAAAGCTACTAGCTTTGTGTTCTTTTTACTCTAGGGTAGGTATAAGATGCCCAAATGAGATTGCAATTTCAGGGGTGGGGTGGGGAAATATTATGGATATGGATTTATATCCACACTAGAATAAAAACAAGTTGGGCAGGCGCATAGTTGCTAGATGACAGATTTAAAACCATGTTTATTCTGGCCCTGAGTCTGAACTGAACCCTGCACATACAGTTTTATGTTTTCATTTTTTTAATTTATCATTCATTGCCGTGTGTGTGTGTGTGTGTTTGCTACAGAGCGACTCAAATTAAATAAATAATGTTGGATCTTTTCCATTCGTAAAAGTATGGATCTCAGGGAATCCTTAGAAATATGCAGAAATTCCATTTTTGTTGTCCCAGCTGTCATTTTAAAATAGCTGAGAACAACTGATTTGTTCCCATTTTTATGTGAGTGCCATAAGCTGCAGAGAAGGTGAGAAGAAAAGGATTCATTGGATGGATTTCCTTGCTGATTTGCCCTGTGGCCATTCCCACCATTGTAGAAATGTTAACGTGCGCTCTGTTCCATTTGCATGGGCTCTTCATTTTTCCAGGTGGTTTTCTGATTATCCATGAGCAAAAGCACCAATGTATTTACGAGAGAGCTAAAACAGCATATGTGGGACCCTGCAACTTTACCAATATAAACCAGCAGTGGCAATGGATGGATGAAAAGCTGCTCCATGTGAGATCTGGCCAGTGCCTGGCCATCACCACCAGGTCCAGTGCTGCCCATTCCCGCAAAGTGATCATCACCAACTGCACTGAGGCCCCTCACTGGACCTGCCACAGCGAGGAAGGACTCCTTGAGGTGAAAAACAGCTCTCTGTTCCTGAAGAAACAAGGCTCAAGGGCAGTAGTGAAGATGGGTAGGAAGTATCTCCATAGTTGGGCAAAACTCGATATCAACGAGAAAGGAGAACCTGTTCGTGAAAACCTGTGCTCAAGCAATGGTGAGTGACTCCTTGGAATGCTTTTAAGCTGTCGGATGTGCCTCATCTGACCCATGAAAGAGCAACCATATTTGATTTGCTGGAGAACAATTAATTCTTTGGTGTGGTTGAAAAACAACATTTTTTTAGGATAGTGATAAAAAATATTTTCCTAATAGTTTTTTAAATGTATTTCTTAGACTGCTACATGCTTTCAATATTATTATTTCATGTCTTTGCTCCATATTGCCTGTGTCTTGCTTTTCCAGGCCTTTCCTGATTTATAGAAGGTGGTGTTGTATATAAGTTTGATGCGGCCTAGAAAAAAACCCAAATTACACAGCTTTCCCTCATCTTATGTTTCATCACAGAAATAAACAGTCAAAAATTGCCTATCCCTAAAAAATGCAAAAAAATTAAATAGCAGTGCTAGCCAATAGACAAATGTATCTGAACCCTAACAACATGAGCTTCATCAATTCTCCAAAGTCACAGGTGTAAAGAAAAATGCCTTTTGTTTGTTGACTGATGGATGGAAATTTTTGGTTCATACACTGTTTTGTTGGCCACTGTACCATAACAGCAAACAGCAAGACAAGAAATCGTGTGACTGTTGGAGGATGCTCGTGTATGTTGTCTTGTACATGATTTATTTAAATATTTGGGCTAATTTCCATGACACTAGTCACACAATCAGGCATTTTTTTTTTCATTGTTCTACCTAGGCTTATTTATTCTTTACAAGCGCTCTGTCCATTTCAGGATTATTCACAGCAGACCTGGCACAAAAGAGTAACTGACCAGCCATGTGTCTTGAAGGTCACATGGATTACATCTA